CTGCCGCCCGCTCCTCCCGCGCCCGCCCGGGGCCTGCTGAGCCCCGCGACTGGAGGTGCCCCGCAACGGGCACACCTGGTCTGACCCACCTGGCGTTGATGAGGTACTGGGCGAGGCTGATGTTCGCGGGGCTCCCGGTGATGGTGACCTGGCGCTCCGAGGACCCCTCCGTGGCGCTGGCGATCTTGATCTGCGCCCCGGACATCTGCCGGATCTCATTGATCTTGGTCCCCTGGCGCCCGATTATGCAGCCGATGAGCTGGAAGGAAGGGGCAGCGCTGGGGCCTGGCCAGCCGGAGGCTGCGGGCGGGCGTGGCCCCGGGACAGGCAGGCGGGGGCGCCCAGGCCTGGCGGCACTGCCTGTGCTCAGGGCGGCCGCGGGGGTCCCTCTACTCCCCACTTCGAGGTGGGGTGCGTGAGCACGTGGGGGCGCAGAGCAGCCTGGGGCAGCAACCCTGCGTGGGGCTCCCGGCACCCCAGGGCCGCCTGCCGGGGACAGAACAGGGGGCTCCTCCGCGATGGAGGTGGGGCGGAGTGAGGGGAACAGCCCCGCCCTGAGGCCTCCCCGCTGGCCGGGCCTCCGGCACAGCTTGCCCACCCACCCCGCTGGACGCCAGCCCCAAGGGGGGGCTGCGCCTGGGCTGGAGGAGGTCCGGCGCCGCCTTCCTGGTGCCGGGCCAGGCGAATCTGGGGCCCGGCCCGGGACACCCCAGAAAGGGTGGGCTGGGTGGCCTCCACAAGTGTGAGGGCCGCAGTGCAGGCAGGCGGCCAGGACGGGCCCAGGGTAGGGGTGTGGGAGGCTGGGGGGGGCGGCAGGCCCCGGGGGGCCCACCCTGGCCGCGCCCCCACGCCTGGTCCCCAGCCGAGGCTTCGGCTCCCTCACAGGGGCGGTCAGGGTGAGCGTGGGTCCGGCCGTGCGGCTGGGGACAAGGACCTGCACAGGCCACCCTCGGCGGGCACCTGGCAGGCAATGGCCAGGGCGGGGCCTCTCCTGGGCCGGTGGCCTGCGATGCCCAGGCCCAGAGGCCACGTCGGAAGCGGCGGGCGGGACGCGCTGTACTCACGTCGTTGGGAATGGTGAGCTCGTGGGTGCTGGCCGGGGGGCTGGCGTCCAGACCTGGGCACACAGGGCAGGTCAGGCTGGGGCCGCTCCCCGTACCCCGCCCCCCGTCCTCAGCGCCCCCTTGGGCCTGGGCTCGCAGGGCAGAGGAAAGCTGGCGCGAGGGCACTGCCCTCTCGCGCCGGAGGCCGTG